TAAGGGGAAGGGGCGTACGGTTCTGGATCTCTGTGACGGCGGCTTTGATCTCGCGCTCGACGTCGCGCTGCCAGCGTCGCGCCTCTTGAAGTGTCTCCACCGACGCAGCCATAGCCGGTCGGGAGGTGCGAGCCTCTCCGCCGGTCTCGAGCATGGTGATGTATCTGTTGAGTAGGTGGTGCTTCTGTTCCTCCGGGCTGTGTGAGGGTGGGTGGGTGGGTGAGTGGAGACGGACGAGGGCGGGGGGGGGGGAGCGTACCGAGCCATGGTGCTTGTGTGGGTGTGGGTGTGGGTGTGTGGGTGTGGGTGTGTGGGGGAGGAGGGGTGGAGGTTGGTGCAAGGAGGTGGAGTGAGGCGGCAACGGGTGGTGGTGGTGGTGGTGGTGGTGGTGGTGGTGGTGGTGGTGGTGGTGGTGGTGGTGGTGGTGGCTGATCGATCACCGCCCGATCGATCAAGGGTATGCTGGGTGGTGTGCGGTGAGAGTGGCATGGCGGTCACGTTGGTGTGACATGACAGACGTGGGCGTGGGCGTGGGCATAGGTGTGGCCCCCCAGTCCCCGGACAGTGGCATACTCGTCTCCTACACTGCCCCCCCCCCCCCCCCCCTCCTCTGCTCTCAACATGCTCTGTGCTGGTGTGTCTGTGGGCTTGCGGCGGACGGCAGGGGCAATGCTGGCCTCCGCCCGCCGGCTGGTCACGGTCGATGCGCTGGTGGTGGGCTCGGGCATGGTGGGCGCTTCGACGGCGTTCAGTCTGGCGCGCGCCGGTGCCGACTCGGTCATGGTGCTGGAGATGGAGGATGCGCATGGGGTCCACTCGACGGGCCGATCGGCGGCTCTGTACTCGGAGACGTATGGCTCGCCGCTGACCCGGGCCCTGACCACCGCGTCGAAGCTCGCACTGCACGGCGATGCAGAGGCCGGCGCGCCGCCGGCTGATGATCCGTTCCTTCGCCCGCGTGGTACGGTCTGGGTCGCCCGCCAAGATCAACTGGACACCATGGACGCCATGCTCGACGCCATCGTCGCCGAGGGCCTCGTCACCTCGCTGAAGAGGCTGGACGAGGCCGAGCTCCGCGCCATCATGCCGGCCATCCGACCGGGCTACGCCGCTGCAGGCGTCTACGAGCCCGACGCCATGGACATGGACGTCAACGGACTGCACATGGCATTCATCCGCGGCGGAAAGGCCGCCAGCGTCGACTTTCGCACCGGCGCAGGCCTGCTCGCGGCGGCCTGGGACGCTCACGCCGGTCTTTGGGAGATCTCTGACACTACTGGTAGCGTCCATCATGCCCGAATGCTGGTCAACGCCGCCGGCGCGTGGGGAGATGTCGTCGCGGAGCGGTCAGGCATCGCTCCGCTCGGCCTTGTCCCCAAGCGGCGGACGATCATGACATGGCCAGCGCCCGCGGCCGCAGACTATCCGGCCGACGCGCCGCCGGCGGCCTGGCCCATGGTTTTTGACGTCGACGAAGAGTTCTACTTTAAGCCGGATGCTGGGCAGATGCTTGCTTCGCCGGCCGACGCCACCCCTGTTGAGCCGCACGACGCCTACGCCGACGACATGGACGTTGCCGTCTGCGCCGACCGCATCATGACCGCCACCGACCTCTCCATCGAGACACTCACCGCGTCGTGGGCCGGCCTCCGTACCTTTGCCCCTGACAGCGACTTTGTGCTCGGGCCCGATGGCATCAACCCATCGTTTGTCTGGGCCGTTGGCATGGGCGGCTACGGCATTCAGACCGCACCGGCAACCGGCGCCGTTGTCGCCGCCACTGCCACCGGCTCGGCCCTCCCGTCGTGGATTGTCAACGTCGGCATCACTTCAGCAGATCCGTTCTCGCCCTCACGGTTCTCATGAGCTCAGCGCCAGTTGCCGCAACAGCGCGCCCGCCACCCGTCTTTCCCCCCCTACCCCCCCCCCCCACCCCATGCTCGATCAGTACATTGCTTGGGACCAGCCGACGCTGTGGATCGCTGTGGCCGGCATTGCCTTTCCTCCCACCTACTGGAACATTGTCTCCCACTATGTACGTTGCCGAGGTAGTGACCGTAGTCACGTTGCCAGCAATGGCGGAGAGGGGGAGCGGGGTGAGGTGGCAGCAAGGGATCCCTCGGCCGTCTACCCTCGCACAGCTGGTTCTTGCTGGAGAAGGCGAGGAAGGAGAGACAGGGAGGGGAAGAGGTGGGAGGATGAGTGGAGAAGAAGGGGTGCAGCTCACAGAGGCTGATATGCATGGCTCTTCGCGGCATGTAGGAATACCACAACAAGTTCCTGACCAAGGCTCTGGGCGGCAACTACGCGGCGTGCTACTTCCTGGCGGCGAGCATCTTTGTCTTTTCGGCCATTCGCGATCTTCTCTTTGACTGGGCTATGGCTGATCAGCCGACGGTGTACGAGCTGGCGCCGATGGCCCTTTCTCTCGCCGGCATGGCGTGCATCGCTGTGGGCGGTATCCTCGTTCTCTCCTCGTACTACCGCCTCGGCATCACCGGCACCTACCTCGGTGACCGCATGGGCATCTACCTCCCGGCTCGAGTCGAGTCATTCCCGTTCTCGGTCATGGAGCACCCGATGTACACCGGTGCCACCTTGTGCTTCCTCGGCCAGGCGCTGCGGACCGGCTCGCCCGCAGGCGTCTTCCTCACCGTCGTCGTCGCCATCGTCTACGCCATCGCCGAGTCGATCGAGGGCCCGTTCACTGCTATGATCTACGCCAAGCGCGCCGAGGACGCCAAGGCCGCACAAGGCAAGGCCGAGTAAACCATTCGTACTCATTTCGGCTTACACTAGGCTTCATCGCGAGCCATTTACTTCATGATCCCCCGCCGCTCGCTCGCTCAAGACGACAACGTGAGGCCAGTCAGGGCGGCCTCGGCCTCGGCGGCGTCCGAGACGGCGGCGGTGGCGGCGGCAGTTGCAGCGACCTTGGCGCGGAGCGCCTTGGCCTTGGCCTTGCGAGCGCGACGTGCGCGGATCTTGCGGACCTTGATGGCGTAGCGCGACCATTTGCGCATGCCCGACTCTACCTGGGCCGAAAACTCGGCGACAGAGTTGATGTCGGCGCGGTGCGGCTCGCGAAGGGTGCAGGGATGGAAGCCGAACTCGGTGAGATGCTTGTTGAGGAGCAGGACCGATGTCCGCTGCGTCCCATCGCGCGCGGCATGCAGCCGCTGCATGGCCTGGTGGTAGGCAACGATGGCGTGGAGCTTGGCACGCCGGATCCGGTTCATCTCCTTCTGCACATGGACAGCCGGCAGCAGCGCGTCGTCGGGCGTCAGCGCCCGAAGCTCGTCCGGAACGCCAGCGAGCGCGCGCGCGTGCTCAATAGGAACCTTCAGCTTGGCCAGCGGGCCCTGAGAGACGTAGAACGCGGCGGCGTCGACCGACCGCTCCAACCGGAGCAGCCACGAGAGCTCCTCCTTGAGCAGCGCGCGCATGTCGTGGTAGAACCTGTGGCCGTACGCATCAAAGTACGCCACCCGCCGCGCCCGCTTCATCGGCAGAAAGAAGAGCCGGTAGCCCTGCGACGACGACGACGACGCCTCGGACGACGTCAGCGTCAGCGAGTAGTACGACGAGTCGTTGCGGGTCCGCCGCGCCGCCCGCGACTTGGTCTGCGACGGCGGCCGGACGTGCTGCAGCCGGACAACCTGCGGCTTGGCGCGGCAAATCTCGCGCTTGGCCTGGTTCGAGACCAGGTGCGGGAGGCCCCACATGCCACCTACCGGCTCGCGGAACTGCGACCTCACCACACCACCGATGGCCCGCCCGTCGGTCCCGGTCTTACGCCGCGACTGAAAGTGTGCGCAAACGGCAGCGTGCATGGCCAGATACTCGGCGGCAAACGTCGGCTTGTCCAGGGTCTCCCGCACAAGCTCCATCGCCTGCTCCACAGACGCCATAAAGCCCGGCTCCGGTCGCCCATCATTGCCGTGATGCAGGCACTTGTCGTACACCTCCTTGCCGTACCGCTGGTCGCCGCCATCCACGGCCTCGCGCCACTTGTGCTTGCCCACCGCGTCGTAGACAAACAGCAGCGCTTGCCGCCGCGCCTCGCTCACGCTGTCGACCTGACCATTGCACCCTCCCTCATCGTGCTCGCTCCCCACCGCTACCGACGGCTCACTCTCGTCGTCCGACTCGACGCTCTTGCCGGCGCTAAGCCGACTTCCGCGCGGGAACCGGGCTCCAGCCCAGTGCCATTGCAGGTTTCCCTTGCCGGCTCCGACCTCAGCCGCATCGTCACCGCCCACAATCCGCACGCTTGCCCGGCTCCCGTTCAGCCCAACCAGATCCGAGGCACCAGCTTCCTGCGCGAGCTCAAGCCACGACGACGTCGACGTCGAGAGCAGATGTTCCGAGAGGATGGTGGTCGACGACGGGACCGGCGAGTACGACGGCTCGGTCGAGGTGATAGCGTCAAAAGAGACCGGCGCAGTGTAGGAGGACGACGACGAGGAGGATGAGGAGGACGAAGACGACGAGGACGACGAAGACGATGAAGATGATGAAGATGACGACGACGAGGTGGTGGACGAGGCGGTCAAGGAGGCCTTGCCCGCCCCCGGCCGCCGTCCTCCCACCGGGCAGCAAGAGCCGCTGGCGGCCGGCGGCTCCGAGGCCGTACTCACAGCGTTGGTGTCGGTCCCGGTGTCGGACGACGTGGTCCACGACGACGACGACACCAGTCGTTCGTCGGTCATGGTCAAACGGGGTGCAGCGGAGGTAGCGAGGGGTGGGGGTGGGGGGGGTGGGGAGGGGGGACGGGGGAGGGGGTGGATCGTTCTCGGGAGGGATCGGGGAGGAGGAGGAGGAGGGCTGGCATGCGAGTTGGCTACCGACCGACCGACCGATCAGGGGCAGTGGATTGATGGGGAGGCACTCACTGGTTTACGGTGGAAGGTAGAGGCGTGGGGTCTGTAGAGGGCATCACAGCGATGATGGCGAGGGATAGGCTGGCGTTGATGGCCGGAACACCGCACGGTGTAGTGCTTACGCCGCGGCTGTCGTGGACGTGGCCGCAGAGCACCGCATGCGGTGAAAGGGTGGCGATCGCATCAGCGATGGCCCGCGAGCCGATGGCCCGTCCATGTGCGGTGCAATCGAGCGTGCCATGCGGCGGCTCGTGTGAGAGCCAGAGTGTGGTCGTCGACGCCTCGGTCTCGTCGGCTGCTGCTGCCTCTGCCGCCGCTGCAGCGATGTCTGCCGGCGACGGCAGTGTATGCCCAAGCATCGACGGTGACATCGAGGCGTAGACCACCCGCAGCTGGGCTGTGCCAGCGTCGTCTAGCGCTACGCAGTGCGTGCCTGCGCCGCGCAGCAGCTCGCCATCAAACGCGCGGGTGACAAAGGCGTCGGCGGCGGCAGCGTCATCATCGCTCACCGTGTAGATGCCGGGCCCCGAGAGCGTCCGATCGTGGTTGCCCGGCAGCCAGGCCAGAAGCCGCAGCCGCGGGCCAAAGACTGCGCCGAGCGCGTTGAGCCACTCTACCACGTCGGCGATCTCATCCAGCTCGCCCGAGTTTGTGGCGTCGCCGCCGTGGACAACCACCACAGGCGCATCTGGCCCCAGCACGGCATCCGCCGCCGTCGCCACCTCTTCCACCGACGGAAGCTCAGCATGGCGCATGTGTGTGTCCGACGCAAAGACGACAATCAGCGGAATGGAGCCAGCCGCGCCCGTCACCGTCACAACCTCCATCATCTCCACCTCCAAACCAGCCATACACCCCGTCGCTGTCACTCCGGCTACCTTGCTGGCCATGGCCAGCCAACCCCAACCACCACCCGTGACAAGACAAGGGTGCAAGATTGCATGCGTACAACTTCAACATCAATCCCGCCATGTTCAAGCCACTTGAGCGGCTCATTGGCCTTTGCCCCACATGCCCCCCTCCCTTTCCCGTCGCTCTTTGCCCCGTTGCCGCATGTCACCGCACGTTGGTGGTCTTCACCCGAATCGGCGACAGGCGACGTGGCGAACAGGTGGAGGGCAGGGGAGGTGCAGACAGTGCGGGAGCGGGTGGCGTGCGCGGGCGGTCAGGCCTCTCCCCACACCGATACCTTTACACCCACCCACACTCACACCCACACACATACCCCTCCTCTGCTCTCTCCCCTCCCTCCCTCTTCCCCATACCCCCGAACCCCCCCCCCCCCCCCCTCCCGCGTCGTTCACACACCTGCACGCGCCCGTGACGAGCAATGGCTGCCATCGACATCACGTTCTCGTCAGAGCCGGGCACGGGGGACATAGACTCGGACTCGGACTTTGAAGGCGGCTCGACTGAAGAGGCTGAGGTGGTGCCGGGCTGCTTTGAGGCTGCTGCTGTTGCAGACGCCTCGCCGGAGAAGAGCAACGACAGCGAGAGCAAGGCGCCCGCCGTTGTTGTTCCGGCCGTGGTCATCATGGTCGACGGCTCGGACTCGGGCACGGCCGACGTGTCGGACGACGACGACTCCGACGAGTCCAGCGGCTCCGACGGTGGCGGTGGCGTCGCCATGCACGATGCTCGCGAGTCGCTCGCGGACTCGTCCGACGACGACGCCGACGAGTTCCACGACGCAACCGGTGGGCTCGGCGCAAAGCTGGCGCTGCGTGGGCGGCAGCAGACGTCGATATCCGGTAAGGGCCTCAAGCGGCTGTCAACGGCCGAGATGCTTGACATGCGCATGAACTCAAAGAACAGCATCTCATGCCGCGAGAATCAATCCGGCCAGGCCGAGATCAATCTCGAGGAACGCGCGCTGGGCGAAATCCCGCCCGAGGTCTTCAAGGTCCGGCGCGTCCAAGTCCTCAAGCTCGCCAACAACCTCATCACCGAGATCCCGTCGGAGATCCGCAACTTGTCTGCCCTCACCTACCTCGACATCACCCAAAACTTGCTCGAGCGGCTTCCAGACGAGCTGACAGGCATGTATAACATGGTGGTCATGCACGCGTCGCAGAACCCAAGCCTCGGACGCTCGATGTCTGCCATTGCGTGTATGGACAACTTGACACACCTGGTGCTCAACCAGGTTGGTCTCGACACACTACCGGACAACATCTCGCGGCTGCTGCGGCTGCGGCAGCTCCATCTGTGCGACAACAAGCTGACAGAGTTCAACGACGAGTTCTTCAAGCTGGCGGCGCTGATGGACCTCGCGCTCGACAACAACGCCATTTCCGAGATCCCATCCAAGGTCTCCGAGCTCCGCTCGCTCACTGCGCTCAACATGGCCAACAACCAGCTGACCACGCTTCCGGTCGCGCTGGGTAAGCTCGAGGCACTGCAAGAGCTGCGGGTCGACGGCAACCCGTTTGAGGACAAGACCATTGCGCCCAAGTTTGAGAGCGGCGGCAACGAGGCGGTCCTCAGCCACCTGAAAGCCAAGGCCAACAAGAGCGGCGGATGCTGCACGCTGATGTAGCACCACCGGCGATGGCCTCCATAAAGTTGCACATGCCACACCCCAGGCTTGCCCGCTGACGCACATCTACTCCACCGAGGTGCCTGCCTGCTCGCGGTCCGCCGGGCGGTCGCCAATTTCGCCACGGAGAAAGGCCTCGATGAAGTTACGCACGTTGAGGAGGAGGTGGTCAGCGTCGGCAGCATCGATGCCGAGCCCAAAGGTGTGGCTCAGCTGCTGGATATTGGCGTGGAGGAGGCCGACGCCATGCTGGGCCTCGCGCCGCCCGGCGCCCTTGGCCACGTACAGCGGGAACTTGACGACGCCGGCCGAGCCGTCGACGGCTTCGAGAACCACCGACCGCGACGACATGGGGACGACCCTATGGCGGAGCGGGGTGGCGAGATACTTGGAAAGTGCGTGAAGGACGGTGCAGACGTGGCCGAGTGCCGACGCCATCTCCTCGGTGAGCGGCTCCATGGCCGCGGTCCGCAGCGGTGGGAGCCAGAGGCCGAGAATGCGGTAGATCTTGGTGCCAAGCCGTGGGTGCTCACCGGCGGTGATGGGGAAGGCCTTGTACAACTCGCCGACAAGCTCGCACCGCCTCTCGAGAAGGGCGTCGAGTAGCCGGGTGCCACGCTGCTCGTTGGCCTCGAGCACAGCCTCTGATGCCGCGAGCCGCTTGCGCGCAGACATGAGCTCAATCTGCGACGCCACAATCGACTTGGCCCGCGGAAGAAGGCCGGCCTTCAGGCGCTCGAGTCGGTCTCTCGCTGCAGTAGTAGCCTCGCGGCGGGCGGCGAGCTTGGCGCGAAGCGCCGCCACTCGGGCGTCGACCTTGTTGGCGGCGGTGATCCGAGCCCGGAGACCCTCAGTCTGGATTAGCGTGGTGCGGATTGACTCGGTCAGGTTGCACACCTCAGAGAGCGTCGCCTTGCGCTGTGCATCCAGCTCCAGCAGAGCCCTTAGCGTGTGACACTCATATGTTGTGTCGGCAATGTCATCCATCGAGAGCGGCAGCGGGCGATCAAGCGTGAGCGCGCCGCAGGCCTCGAGCGCACGCCCGAGCGACCGCGGGGCGTAGTACCCGTCGTGCAGCTCGAGGATGAAGACGTTGACGACGTTGGGACCCAGGCTCAGCGCCTGCAGGTCCGTGCCCAGAAAGTACAGCTCGTCAAGATCAACTTGCGCCGTGAGCACCACCGCCGGCGGGTCCGCGCTCGCCGCCGCGCACCTCACGCAGCAGAGCGTGGCGCGGACGGTAGCGGTAAAGAACCGTGTTGCCGCTGCCGCCAGGCTCGTGCAGAACACCTCGTCTCTGCCCTCGCCCGACGTCCACGACGGCTGCAGCGACGGCTCGGCGTGAAGCGCCGAAAACAGCACAACATGGCCGTCGCCGGCGTCGGCGTCGTCGACCATCTCACTGACGCTGCGCTGCGTCCCGCCGCCGACTGTCGACTGCGCCAGAGTCAGCTCGCACACCGGCATCAGCGAGCCTCGGCCGCACAGATCGCACAGTGCTTGCGCCTTCGGTGGACGGTGGGCAGCTCCGGCCGACGACGCCAGCGACGACGTCGACGCGTACAGCATCGAGTTGGAGATGTGCGAGACGCTTGCAGCAAACATACCCGACGGTGACACATCGTGGCCGACCGCCATCTCGAGCGCAAGAGTCCCTCCCGCAGGCGACGGCGAGTGCGAGAGCATGGGCGGGCCGGGTGCCTCCAGACACACATTGCGCAAGTGGAAGGCGAGGACGTGGCGCAGGCGACGTCGCTGAGGAGCGGGAGGTGAGTTGGGAGGAGGGGGGGGGGGAGGGGGAGGGAGGGGGAAGCGGCATCGGCG